AAATGGCTACTTAATACACTAAAGTGTAAAAGCAAAAAGTTGGGGTTGGAGTGTTTTTATCTTGTTCTGCACTAAAAAGAGTCAGAAGTCAACACCTTTTTTTCACTTTTTCCTTGTACCTCACATTTTAATTTTCCCTCTCTTTTTCCTTCCCCTAATTTCTTATTTCTATTTTTCTTTGTATTTTATATATTAAATATAACAACTTTTAAAAAATGGGATAAACATGAGGGAAAAAAGATGATCTCTTATTTATGTGAAATGGCAATGATAATAGATAATAATAATAATAATAATAATAATAAAGTTGGAAGGGACCTTGGAGGGCATCTAGTCCAACCCCCTGCTCAGGCAGGAAACCCTATACCAGTGGTGACGAACCTATTAGAGACCGAGTGCCCAAACTGCAACCCAAAACCCACTTATGTATTGTCGGGTGGGCGTGGCCTGCCGGGTGGGTGGGTGTGACTAAGGAGATTATGGCAGACTGGGTGGGCGTGGACAAGGTGGGCATGGCCAGCTCAATGTTGCTCCTGCGGAGGGATGCCTGTGGGGGCTGGGCAGGGTTGGGGGAGATCCAGGGGGGTCTCTGAAGGGTGGCGCAGTGGGCAGGAGGGCGTGTTGCTCAGCTGATGGCTTGGTGGGAAAGGGGGCAGCTACACCACCTCCCAAACACCACCGTCTCACAAAAGCAGGATGAAAACTCCAAAAAGCAACAAGGAAAAAAAGTTAAAATAGAAAATTGTCTCGTGATGGTTTTCTTCTCTCGGGGGTGGGGGACAGGGGGGAAGGCTCCTGAGCACCACAGCTCTTCCGAGGGTGGGGAGGAGGAGAGTGCGGAGAGGCTGTGCTGGGATCGGGGCTCCTCGTGCCTTCCGCTGCCCGCTTGCGCTCTTCTGCCGAAGATGCCATAGCTCCACTTGCCTGGCAGGGTGGGGGCGTGCTTGCACACGTGGACGCATGTGGGGCTGCTGCCTCGCTTTCCCTACCATACCGGGAGTGGGCTGGACTGGGTGCAGGGCCTCCTCGTGGCCTCCCGCAGACATGAGGAGTGCCCACCCTACCTACCGCTCGTCCCGGGGCAGTTGCCGCTGTCCCGTGCTCTCCAGCCCGTCGCCGGCCAGCCAGGCGCGCCAGGATGCCTCCCTTTGGGCTCCCTTGGCCTCTCCTCCCCTCCAGGCTGGGGCTGGTCAGATTCCCCCCCGTGGGCAGCCCTGCGCCCGTCTCCGGCCAGCCCTCCTCTTCCATCATCCTGCTCCTTCTGCGGGCGGACCGTGGCTTATCGAGCCGGGCGGCGCCTCTCCCCACACACATCCTTAGGCGGAGGAGCCAGGCAGCCACGGCTCTTGCTCCCCTACAGCCTCCATCTGCCAAAGGCCCAAGCTCGGCGCACCCAGCTGGTCGGCGACAGGCTGGAGAGCGTGGGATGGCGGCAGGTGCCCTGGGATGAGTGGTAAGTGGGGTGGGCGCTCCCAATGTCCACGGGGGAAGAAGTGGCGAGTAGACTCCGCGCCCAGTCAAGCCTAGCCCCAGCAGGCACGGAAAGCGATGCAGCAGCCCCACGTGCGTTTGACCCAACCCTTGCAGAGCGCTGTTCTCCTGTCGCCCCGACCCAACCTTTGCAGAGCCCCAACCAGGTTCCTTACCTCCACCCGGCTTGTTCTGCGGCCTCATGGCAGCAGCACTGGGCAGGAGGTGGCAAACGGCCAGTTATGGCGTGAAGCAGCTGTTCGCTGCCTCGTGTATTGTGCCCAATGCTGCTGCAATGCAGCTCAGCCGAAAACGGCTGTGGAACAAGTGGGGAAGCTTTCCCCCTACCCGCTGCATGGATCGCCCTGCCACCACGCGGGGGTCCACGGCCTGAGTGGATGGTGGGACTCCGCGCAGCGGGAACACCGCTTACTTTTGATGGCCCCGGTGAGCGTGTTGCCATCCTTGACCATGTCCTTCAGGAATTTGTTGGTGCGCTCCAGCTCCTGCTCGGAGAACCGGAGGCATTCATGGAAGCCCGGGCTGTCCAGGTAGCAGATGCTGAACTCCAGTGCTGGCTGCCCCATGGCAGTCCCACCTGGCCCCTCGCGGCCTCAGCCCTAGCGGCGTGCTCGCCTCCCGCGGCGGAGGGGCCAAGGCAGCGGCCGGGGGTGGCTACAGGCAAGGTGGGCAGTGCTTTGGCAGCTCCGCATCGGCAGCTGTGGCTGGGTTGGCTCTGAAAGAAGCGAGCAGGGTTGGGAGGAAGAGCGGGCGGGCAGGGGCGGCTCCGGTTCCTCCAGGGCGGGCCGCCCTTTGTTCGCTCAGAGTCCTGCGCTGGGCGCCTCCCTTGTTGCCGCTCACCTTAAAGTGGCAGGCGGCACTGCCAGGTCCGCTGCATGGCCAGGAGGAGGCAGCCAGAGGGCCGAGCGGCTCTGGCCAAGCCCATGCTCTAGCCACGATCCTGACCTTACGAGCTGCGGGGGGAGGGGCGGCGCTGGGCCGCAGAGCCTGGATAGCCAGCAGTGACGAGAGGAAGCTGGGCCGTCTCACCACCACCCAGTGGCTGTCCGGGGGTTCCAGGCATGGGTGGCTGCCCTGACCTGCTGGGTGCCCCTCCGCAGCCTTGGCCAGGAAGCCTCCGATGGGACTCCGTCCTCCACGCAGAGTGAGGCCTGGGCAGCAATGGCCGGACACCCGATGTGCCCTCCCCGCCTCTAGCCCCGACCAGGCTCTGATAGGGCGGGGCCGCCAGGCAAGTTGCCAGCCAGGAGTTGGTGGCCTTTTGGGAGAGAACCCCCGTCCGCCCCTGTGGCCTGGGTGGCTGGTGCCTTCTGACTGGGGACGAAGTGGTCACAGCCGGCCTTTGACTCCTGGGGGCTGCAAGGGCAGCCCACAGCACGGGGAGTAGCAGCCTGCCATGGCGGGGGGAGGGAAGATTGGTGCCCCAAGGAATGGAAAGAGTGGAGCGAACGGTCCCCCAAGCCCTGGCCGAGCCGCCGTTTCACCCCCCACATGGATTGCCGTGCCGCTGTTCCCCCCCCCTGCACTGATCGCCCTGCTGCCACTTGCAGAAGGCCTCTGCCTCCCGGATCTATGGCTGCAAAGTGATTTCACGCCCCCCCCCAGCTGATCTGGGCGACATAGGACTTTTCAAAGCTCCCAGAGCTTGAATCCATGGTTGCGGGGCAATTTTGCGGCGCCCCAGCAGCCCTATCTGAGCTCCAGAGGCTTGGAAAAGGCCTCTGCCGCCCGGATCGGCCGTGTGTGTGGGGGTGTGAAATCGCTTTGCAGGCTTACCTGGACTCCCGCTGGCAGCTGCCTCCATCATCCAGCCCGGATCCGCCCAGCTTTTGCAGCTGCTCCGACTCACAGTGCAGAGAGAGCAAGAGCGCAGGCACACGTAGAGAGGCGGAGGGGAGCAGCCTGGCCCCACCTCCCTGGGACAATGGCGCATGTGCCCACAGGGACGGCTCCATGTGCCGCCTATGTCATGCGTGCCATAGGTTCGTCACCACAGCCCCATATCATATCATTCCAGTGTCTTCTTAAAAACTTCCAGTGTTGGAGCATCCACAACATCTGGAGGCAGATTGTTAAACTATTTAATTTTTCTAAATGTCAGGATATTTCTCCTTAGTTCTAGGTTGATTCTCTCTTTGATTAGTTTCCATCCGTTGCTTCTTGTCCTGCCTTCAAAAATCCACTCATGCCTAGCGTTTGGTTTCCATTAGTAAATTAATCTCTCTGGGGCTTCCAGTTGTGAAGTTCAGACTCAAAAAATCTCTTTCCTAATTCAGTAAATGTAATAAGGAAATGCATATATTTTAATGACTAAACAGTTAAACAGACTCTCACCCAAATGTATCTGTATATGGAACATTCAGTCATTGGTCCTCTTGAAGTTTTCCCATATTTCACAGACTTATAGGGCTTCTACACAGTGTGGGTCCTTTTATGAGAGTTAAGATAACGTCTTCTAATAAAATCTATCCCACATACCATACATTTATAAGGCTTCTCCCGTGTGAATCCTTTTATGGATATTAAGGTAACTGTTCATAGAAAAACTCTTTCCACATTCCATGCATTTAAAAGGCTTCTCCCCTGTATGTATCCTACTATGGTAAATAAGTAGGCACTTCTTAATAAAGCTCTTTCCACACTCCATGCATTTATATGGCTTCTCCCCTGTGTGGATCCTTTTATGGGTGTTAAGATAACTCTTTGTAGAAAAACTCTTTCCACATTCCATGCATTTATTTGGCTTCTCCCCTGTGTGGATCCTTTTATGGGTGTTAAGATAACTCTTTGTAGAAAAACTCTTTCCACATTCCATGCATTTATTTGGCTTCTCCCCTGTGTGGGTCCATTTATGGGTGTTAAGATAACTTTTTGAAATAAAAGCATCACCACACTCCGTGCATTTATATGGATTCTCCCCGGTATGTATCCTACTATGGTAAATAAGTAGGCAGTTCTTAATAAAGCTCTTCCCACACTCCATGCATTTATGTGGCTTTTCCCCCGTGTGGATCTTTTTATGGAAAACAAGTTCACTGCTCTTAGGGAAGCTCTTTCCACATTCAATGCATTTATAGGGCTTCTCTCCTGTGTGGATCCTTTTATGGACAGTAAGAGACGAATTTTCACAGAAGCTCTTTCCACACTTTGTGCACTTATATGGCTTCACCCCTGTATGGATCCAGTAATGGGAAGTAAGAGAAGTACTAAAACTGAAGCTCTTTCCACATTCCATGCATTTATAGGGCTTCTCCCCTGTATGGATCCGGTAATGCGAAGTAAGAGCAGTACTAAAAGCGAAGCTCTTTCCACATTCCATGCATTTATAGGGCTTCTCTCCTGTGTGGATCCTCTTATGATATGTAAGATGACCATTCATAGTAAAGCTCTTTCCACACTCAGTGCATTTATATGGCTTCTCCCCTGTATGGATCCGGTAATGCGAAGTAAGAGCAGTACTAGAAGTGAAGTTCTTTCCACACTCCATGCATTTATAGGGCTTCTCCCCTGTATGGATCCGGTAATGCGAAGTAAGAGCAGTACTAGAAGTGAAGTTCTTTCCACACTCCATGCATTTATAGGGCTTCTCTCCTGTGTGAATCATCGTATGATGTGTAAGTTGACTGTTCTTAGTAAAGCTCTTCCCACACTCCACGCATTCATATGTTTTTTTTGCTTTGTGGATCCTTTTATGGTAAATAAGTTGACTGTTCTTAATAAAGTTCTTTCCACACTCCGTACATTTATGTGGCTTCTCTCCTTTGCGGGTCCTTTTTCGAGATGTACGGGACCCATTTTTATGAGGAAGACACAAGGTCCGTTTGTAATTTTTTCCACTTTCTCTAGATACATAATCTTCTCCTTTGGTTTGGGTTTGATCGTGTCTATTTATATCTAATTTCTTTATGAATAGTTTTTTACATTTTCCAATATATTTCTTTTTTATTTTTCCTTGTTGGGACACAGAGGCTTTCGTTGGTACATGAACAAAAGATGAACTTTCCTGATTGCAATGATTTGATTGGTTTCTCTCATGGCTTTCTTCTTCCATTTGAAATGTAGGGTTCTTCATATTGTATCCCTGAGTGATCGTTTGGAATAGTTTTCCAGAATCTTCATTTTCCTCCCCATTATTACCTTCAAAAAGAAAAGAGAAATGAAAATAACTTTAGGGAAAAGGAGCAAAACCTTAGGAAGTTTGAACATAATGAAAAACAAATTTTCTAAGATGCAGAGAAGCCCTGTAATAATTTGATCTGGGCTTTTTCCATTAAAATTTCGGAAGATAAATCTAGGTTTGTATGCCAAAGGAAAAACCACGGATTAAATATCAAATTCTTCAAGTTTCAAAGGAAATGGGAAGGTTTGGTTTGTCCAGTTTGAAATTGGATTGGCTAGTCTGCTATATGGTTTGGAGAAGATCCTGAAGCTGAAACTCAAATACTTTGGCCACCTAATGAGAAGGAAGGACTCACTGGAGAAGAGCCTAATGCTGGGAAAGATTGAGGGCAATAGAAGAAGGGGACGACAGAGAACGATGGAGTCACTGAAGCAGTAGGCGTGAGCTTAAATGGACTCCAGAAGATGGTAGAGGACAGGAAGGCCTGGAGGAACATTGTCCATGGGGTTGCAATGGGTCAGACACGACTTCGCAACTAACAACAAATATATCTAATTACAGAATGTCTTCCCAAACACTCTGAATGGGGAGTAGCATATTCTTACCCAAAGAGGCCACGTTGCTATGATTTTCCAGCATGACTTCCCGATGTAGTGCTTTTTGGTCATCATCCAGCTGAGACCACTCCTCATCGGAGAAATACACAGCCACCTCCTTAAAAGACACAAGACCCTCCTGAATGAGAAGAAACAGAAGAAAAATCAAGAGGATTTTCAAAATCTGTCCTATTGTTTAAGTGATTATAAGCAAAGACATACATTTCAGGTCATTCAATGAAATGAATCCCACTTTTCATCGGGGTCTGTCTGTCTGTCTATCTATCCCCATCCATCAGCAAGACTTTCAGCATCTGGAGAGACTCAATTGGTATGGGCCTTGGAATCCCCTCCTAGGACTCACTCCCATCCACCCAGTATTTGCAGAACAACATGCGAGGGTGGTGATAGTGGTTCTTTTTGCTATTTAAGTAAAAGGCTTGTGGTGTCCCCAGAACAAAAAATCCTATCCATGCCCAAAACCTTCACTAAAGTTATTTGAGAGGCACCCAGGGATTTACATGGGTGTCATCAATAGACAAAGGCACACAAGCCCTGTTTTGGCTGCTCCTCAGATTACAAGGAATCCACTGCTTGTACCCCAACCCAATGGCTGAAGAAGAGAAAGCTGCCTTGTGAAGAGCATTTCTCATCCTTTCCAAAGCTGGATTGTTTGGACACAAATCGGAGTATTAGAAATTCCTCTAAAGGCTGAAGGGCCTTGATCTGCCCACCCTCTCTGGATTTTAACAGTCTGCTTCATCTTTTAACCTGGTGCCATTATTTTTCTTATCACTGGCTATAAACAGGGCAATTTAGAAAATGTAAGGTATCAATGTAATTTTTTCCGTTATTATTGAATACCCTTGCACAATTCCGTGCCAAAGAATTAGTAATAGGATGACTATTCAGCAAAACGCTAAAATTGTGAACATTTTATGTTTCATTATCCCTCTCTTACTTGAGTTGGAGCTTCAACCACTCTTTCAGCGCCACCATAAAAAGGAGTCAAATTCATTCTATTCTTCCCTGTGAGGGAAGCAGATATGGATAATTAATAAAATAGCAGGAGGCATTCTAAAGAGAAGAGACAGAGAATGTAAGACAGCTGGGACCTCTCTTGGGAATGGGTGGACTTTTGATTACCATCTGAGATGTCCTGAGTTGCAGATTCCTGATAGATCCTCCTGGAAAACAGCTCCCGAAGGGGATTGGATGGATTCCTCCTTCTCACAGGATGTCTGGTTTGTAGAGTGAAAGACTTGAAATAGGAGGCAGGAGAAAAGAAAAATAAATAAGTCCTCACAAAACACAAAGCGGATTCTTGTTCTCTAAAAACAACTTCAATCCCACTATGTTTATCAATGAGCCCAGAATGTACGAAAGGAACAGCTGTCTCAAGTCTATCTTGTAGAATGGATAATGGAACAATGTCTTGCAAGAACTAATGAAACATCTCCACATATTATGAAGAGCAGAGAAGTATGGAAGGGAGGGGTGAAAAATTGAAACACATTTTTTATTCCCTTCTGGACTTCCAAGATGAAGGCCTCTCACCTGCAATTCGACTTGCTCCTTCTGCTCCTCTGCCTGACTCATGAGGAAGCCTTCCGCCAGGGCCACCGCTTGGGAGCTACTCTCTGCTCCACACTCCCGCAACCAGTTTGCCATCTGCTGGGGCAGAAGAGCCAGGAGCTGCTCCAAAACAACAAGGTCCAATATTTGGGTTTTAGTGTGCTTTTCTAACCTCAGCCACTGACTATAAAAGTTGTGGAGTCGGCTGCAAAGTCCTCGGGGACCTTCAGTCTCCTGATATTGGATGTCTCTGAAGTTGCAGGGCTGAATCTCTGAACGGATGATGGTTTTCTCCTCCAGCATCTTCTGCCCAGTTTTTGCCCAGATCTTCCCACAGCTGCCAGGCTCAACAGCAGAGGGGCCTTTTCCAGTTCCCTCACTTGCTAACGGTTGTTTCTGCATCCTTTGTCTGTCCTGGAAGGAAATTCTATACAGGATGAAGGAATCTTGTGGATCTCCAAACACCTTTCAATTCATAGGACTATTCCGGTAACTGCAGTACTGACCAAAAAGGCTATCCAAACTTTTAACCCAGAGTTAACTTTTTGTTGTTAGGAAGGTTGTTGAGAGGACTCTAGTTTCTGCAGCTCAAATGGAAAAGGAAATAAATTAAAAAAATGAGAAGATGGTGGACTTAACCATTGAACAACATTCCTCCTCATGAAAGCAAAGCTGGTAAAGGACTGCAGTGGTACTGAGCAAATGGATCCTCTGGGTATTTGTGTGTCTGTCTATTTATCACGTGTGGTGCAAAATATGGTCCTAGCTTCCATCAAGACATGGAATATTTTATGTTTTATATTTGGAGGATTTTCTATTTCTTTTTTCCCTGAAGGATAGGCTAGCTTTTTTTCAAATTTAAGATCTACATATACCCTACACCCTGCCAAGGAAATGACCCTGGTTTAGGATGCTCACTTCCTGTTTTTCAGCACTTGCTTTTGGGGAACAAAGTCATACTATAACACGAAGGCTGCTTCACACAATTTGCCCTGACTCCAAATTGGTTACCAACCATACGGGCAAAGTTCACATGAAACTCAGGGCTTGAAAGAACACACCTTAAAATGATGATGTTCACACACACACCATTTAAGCGTGGAGGATCTGATCCTAGTTTATTCTTTGTCTCCAGAAGAAGCATGAAACTGAAGGGTTCTGTAACTGGAACTAGAAAAAGAAACAAATTGTGTAGCCTTGCCTAACTGTTGCTATCTCGCTTTTGTAATCAGCGTTTCCCTCAGGGACAAATTTCATTCAAAGCGTGGGAAACATGTACACTAATGTGATGTGCTGAAGGAGGGAATAAGGGAGTGTACAGGAATGATTGAGGTCTTCCTTATATTGTAATAACTGTGTTGTCTGATTTTCATTGGCTAACAAAGTTTATAAAGCAATGCATACTAACTTTGTAACGTGTGGCACTTCTGAACGCAACTGCTGCCAGTGTTCAGACTGTGTTCCCACCCTGGACTTATTTTGATCAAAAATGGAGTACTATTTCTTTAAGAAGCCTCTGCTTGAGTTCTCATGACTGGATTTTTATGATTTCTCAAGTTTTGCCAAGGGCCAGTGACCTTACAAAACATTTGCAGCTTATATATCCAAAACGGAATATTAAAGGATCAGGAAGAGAGGGTGAATAATTTAACTAGAGCAGTGATGGCGAACCTTTTAGAGACCGTGCCCAAACTGCAACCCAAAACCCATTTATGCATCGTCGGGTGCCAGGTGGGTGTGGCCCATTGGCTGGGTGTGGCCCATTGGCTGGGCATGGCTGCGGTGGTAACGGCAGACTGGGTGGGACTAAAAAGTTCAATCAATCAATTCCAACTTTGCAAGATCTTTTTTTTCCCCCACAAGAAGTTGAAATTGACTGACTGATTGAACATTTTTTTTTTTTGCACATGCCGGCAGAGGCCTAAAGTGAAAAGGTTTTATAAAACCCAGCTGAAGGCCTAGGGCTGGGGCGACGGCGCGAGTGCCCACAGAGAGGGCTCTGAGTGCCGCCTCTGGCATCCGTGCCATAGGTTCGCCACCACTGAACTAGAGAAACTCCATTCCGAAAGAAAAATTTACAAGAAGAAAATCTTATAAAACCACTAATGTCAGGCAAGAAAGTGGGAAATCTTATTAGATATTTTAATTTCTGTGCAGCTGGGGCATATTCTGAAGAATCCTTGATCAACTTCTATCAAAGACTCGGAATACTGTAGTGGACAAATACATTTAAAACATATTTTGGATTTCTATTTTCTAGTTATTTATTTTAATGATTTCAAAAGTCTGTCAGAGTTAAGAGCACTCCTTAAAACAATGTCTCAGGTCACAAAACAGCAATTGAGATGAGATCTATCTAAATCGATTTCATGAGAAAATAAATCAACATTTGAACATATGGCAAAGGTTTAGACAGCAGGACCCCATTAATCATCCTTTGGGAACTTGAGAAGCCTGAGTTAACAAGCCACCATCTGATACACAGAGGACGAACACCTGAATGAATGAACCATTGAGAGCCTAACATGACCTTCTGATTCATGCAACTCCAACAAACATGTTCCCCACTTTTTAGTCTCATCCACGCTTTTCAAAAGACGGCAAATGAAGACAAACATGGACTTCAATTTCCAGGCTTGAAAGAGGCTTGGGAAACATCGGCCAAAACTAATCAAGGAGAGAAGCAACCTAGAACTAACTTCCTGACAGTTAGAACAATTAACCAGTGGAACAACCTGCCTCCAGAAGCCGTGAATGCTCCAACACTGGAAGTTTTTACGAAAAGACTGGACAGCCATTTGTCTGAAATGGTATATAGGGTATATAGGGTATATAGGGGGTTGGACTAGATGACCTCCAAGGTCCCTTCCAACTTTACTACTACTACTACTGCTGCTGCTGCTGCTACTATTATTATTATTAACCGGGCACTGAGTGCAAATACTGCGTCTCAGCCCCACTTGCGTCTCCTTCCCTACAGTCTCTCCCTTCTTTGTCTGCCGGCAGAGCCCCTTTGCCCGGTCGGGGGGAAAGGCGAGGAAGCTGCACCCCAGTCCTACCACCCGGAGCCCCGGACTTGCACCCAGAGCCGGCAGGGAGACATCTGGCCAGCCTCTCCCTCCCCCCCCATGCAGAGGCTCCCCCAGGAAATGGGGGGAAACGGTCCCTCCCTTCTGGCGACCCCCATTTCTCTCCTTTGCTCCCCCGCCCCCTTGCCTGGTTCCTGCATGGGAAAGGGCGGCAGGGGAACATGGGACCGCAGACTCCCACCCCAGGGGAAGACTTGGCCCGTCTCCACACTCCCTTCCAGCACGGGACCCCTTTGCACGGGCAGAGCCGCCACTCACGGAATTCAGGAGTCTCGTCCTGGACCCGCATCTCCGCAAGGATTCCAGGCAGCCTCTGCGATCCCCGCAAAGTTTCTCAGCGGAGGGAGGGAGAGAACAGAAAGGACAGCCTCTTCCCACGGACGCCCTGGGCAACAAGTGCCTTGCTCTGGCTGAAGCGTCCCGCGCATGCTCTGTTTTCTCCTTAGTCTGACAGCGCCCCCTGGTGGACTCTGCCCGAGATGCCAGGATTCCCCGAACGGGCGGGAAAGAGAAAGAGCTTCTGAGGGGAGGGAGGGAGAGGGCAAGGATGATGGGCATGGGAGTAGGAGGAAAGGTGCTTTGACCAAGAAAGGCGTCGATGTCTCCAGAGGCCGCAGCTTCTCCATCTTCCTGTCCAGGAACCCTCTGTGGAGAAAAAGATCTCCCTGGAGGATTTGAACTTGCTTCCCTCAAGAACAGCTGCCCTGAGAAGGTCTCAAAAGGGGCCCAAATCCTCTCAGAAAAAGCCAGGCAGTCAGAAGACGAGGACCAGGAGCTTCTCTGGGAAACACAATTTGTGCCTTGCCGTTGTGGCAAACTCCGGCCTGAAGGGGAGGAAGATAGGACATGGGCGGG